TATAAAATTTTATAATTTTAAATTATATTTTTAAAATATAATTTTGGGGTTACAATTTTAGGTCCAAAAAATTTTTGATTTATCTTCAAAAATAATTATCCAAATAAGAAATTATACTTATATTTTAGAAACAAAGTTACATACAATATATTCAATAACTAAATTAAAACCATATAAATATGAACTATTGAATATATGATCCATGACATGGTTGCAGGTTAAAATAATAATAATAATAATAATAATAAAATAATAAATAATTTTTTTTAATTGATTCTTTAATTATATATAAGAAATATATTTCTATATAGATTTTTATTCTTTAATCAATAAATTATTAATATTATTTTTATAATAATTTGAAAATATTTTTAATAGTTATTATTATATACACATTTTTATTTATAATTAATGCTTTTTAATTAAAGGTTTTATTTATAATAATAAAGAAAATCAAATAATTATTTATTATTAATATTAAAAAGATTTTTAAAAAAAATTTTTTTTAATTGTAAAGTAATAAAAGATTTTTTTAATTGTAAAGTAATAAAAGATTTTTTTACTTTAAAAAATTATAAAAATTATTATTAATTAAAAAACTTATTTTTTTTTTAATTAATAATTTTCATTAAAAATAATTAGTTAATATAAAATATATTAATTTTTGAAATATAAATAAGCTTTTATTAATTATATTCACATGTTTTAATAATATTATCGATAATAAAAAAAGAAAAAATTTTTGAAAAAATTTATAAAAAAAAACAATTATAATATTAAAAAATAAAAAATAAATAAAATAAATTTGAATTATTAATTTTTATTTTTTAAAAAAATCTATTAAAATCGAGATTTTTAAATTTCTATGTCAATTAAATAAAATTTTTAATATTATATTAGCTTAATGAACTTTTATATTTTTCAAGTAATACTAATAATATACAATAACAAGTTAATCATTGCCTCATTAAGGACATTATGATAACATGATTATAAATTAATATATATAGTATATACAATATAATATAATATCAATTAAAAAATTCACAACTCTTTTCGCTAATCCTCTGACCACACACAAAAAAGATGTTTGCAAGAAGTTTTAATACTTCCATGCTAATAAAGTCTTATCACTTTCTTTAAACCAACTCAAGAGCTCCTTGAGAACTTCCACACCTTCCCTTTTCTCTTGTTTACAATCTCCTTTGAACAAACTGGACTCCTGTGATCTGCAAAGTTCAGCTCCCACCTTTACTATCTATGGCAAGAAAGTTCCTAAAGGAAGAAGGACCAATACTAAAGTACCTCTCACCTTTCAACTATAATGGAGATAACAGAGATTCTGTCCCAGTCAAAGTACTTACTTTTCTATCCTTTGACGTGTGTTGTAGTCTCTTAGAGCTACCTTTTTTATGGCTTTTTGGAAAATTTTGCCTATCTTAGCTTGACCCTGAAATTTTGGGTAGCACGAATCTCATCAACACTGATTGGTTGACACGAAACATGTTGGACAAGATTGATAAACAACCTCCTATTGGTCATCTCATATGTCTGAATGTATTTCCTCAGCTCCATAAGAACCTGGGGTCCATTATAAGTCATTGTGCCTGGTGCGGGTGAATACAGGACATGAAATCTCCTACGTTATTGACTGTCAAGAAAGAACAAGTTGCAATAGGACATATTGGATAAACAACAACTCCCTCATTTCCTATTCAACTGATGAAAATCGACAACCTGGGTATTATTTTTTCGGAGGGTTTTGATATACCTATCTCTTCACTGTAAACCAACAATAATAATACCATTACCAATATCCATTGGACAAGATTTGTACACACTCCTCCCCTTTTTTAAAATTTTTCTTTTAGCGTTAATGGAGTTAAGGCTCTACATAAGGAATTTCAACATCAATGGTGTTGGGTACCTTAAGTGAATCCTTGGCACATTAGCTCACCTTTTTGGTGAATAGCGATAAGCCACTCGGTGGTTTCAGGACCTAGAGAGTGTTATGATGTAATAGGTCTAAATAGTCAAGTCTTGGGTGTCTAGTTAGTTTATCATAGTAAAGAGAAATATCTAGACTAGACGGTCATGTAGTTGCCTTATCCTGGTTAGGTGAGATGTAAATAGTTAGCTTTTTGTACTATTCGTTGATCTGTAAATCCTTAAACAGTATGGGTAATTATTCATCCCAGTTGTTCTCAGATATGATCTTTATTATAATAAAATGGTGCCATGACACATGGATGAGCTAGTGTTAAAAAAAAAAAAAAAAAACAATATAATGTAATGTATTTATAAATTAATAAAAAAGGTTATGCCATTTTTTTTTAAAAAAAATACAATTTTAATGTTGTTAATTTAAGGAACTTGGACTTTTGAAACAAATGTTTTTGAAACATTCTTTCTAATTATTAATGATATTATTAGAACATAAAATAAATAAATATTTGATTAATCACAAAATTAATGAATTATAATCCTACTTATTTTGTAACTGATCAATATTTACTGTATATACATTGCATATACACGTATATTTTTATTGTTTCGAAATGCAATATTTCATTTAACCCATAATGGGAAATCTATTTTCAAAAAAAAGTGAAAATGGAATAAAAAATGAAGAAACATCATTTCTTTTTCTGCAAACGCATTTATGTACCAAAAGGACTGACATAGAATTCAAAGTGAAATCTATATTTTATTGAATGATCTCTAGGGATACATCTATGCAGTATGGGAGAACAAATGTAAGAAATACAGACACGACATACCTAATTTTAATCATGACTTCAAATATTGAACAAACAACGTAATTCTACATTTTTTCAAAATCGAACCATTTCGATCTATCCGTTGAAATGGACTCGAGGTCACCTGATGATCTTTAACCGCATACTTCGAACTGAGTCTTTTCACAAATGCATTTAGTATCTCTTTGTGAACATCAAAATCGTCCTCACTACAATACGAAAATTTCTGAATCGGTGCTTCCCAACCATCCAATATTTCTTTCAGGAATTCGGCCGAAAAAATCCATCCGATTTCAAAATGGGATAGATTATCGAGTGCCACCAATTTTTTCAAAGGTAGTAACACACCATTTGCTTGGTGGAGCTTTGATTTGTTGTACTCGACGACAATTTTCTTTAACGGTAACGGTATTTTCAACAATTCGACAAGATGATCCACTCCGTCATAGATTCTGTTTATCTCAAGGGTCGAGAGTTTTGGACAATAGACACCAATCTCTTTAAGAATAGCGGTATAAATGGTGGTCGTGAGACATAAATTGATTCCATGAAGATGCTTTCCATTGAGTTCAAGAAATGCTTTGGTATTTTCAATAAACAATGGATCTTGCCACGTATAGTACATCGAGATTCCCAAATGTTTGAGCTTCGGGAAGGTGCTATACCATAGAGCGGTAAATGATTTATAATATTTTTTATCTTCGAACGAAAGATCAATAGATTCCATGTTAGCACAACGAGTCAGTGCTTTAACTGATTCCTTATCACAAATCAATACATCTCTGATGACAATGTTCTTGAGCGAATCAACTTGAGAGTCGAGGGCAGCTATTGCCATTGACATGTCCAAGGGTATATCAGATAAACTAAAGCTCGAGAGTTTCGATTGATTTCTAATTAAAGTTGATAGTTCCCCTACAAAAGGAGCATCTTCGTCCATATCGTCAATTACAATCGCCGTAAGGTTCTTGCAAAGGTTGGCAAAACCGACAACAAAAGTCCTGCTGCAAAAAGTTCCGTCGAATTCCAATGTCTCAAGATAAGACAAACAAGAATTACCGAGATAACCAGGAATTTTGTTTACAAAGGTACCATCAATGGAGAGATCCGTAATGACAAGCTCCAAAATCTTTCGAGTTTTGTTCATGAAAAGTTTGCACAATTCTGACACCATGTATTCGTCGAGTTCATACCTTTCCGGGTTATTTCTGTAGTCGATGCTTGGACCTTGATCTTCGCACAAGCTAGTATCGGAGTCACTATTTCCGTCTGAACTTGTTTCATCGGTTTCATCATTGTTGGAAGTTTCGGAACTGTGCTCAATCTCATTAACTTCTTGGACTTCTTCACTTGCGACGCCATCGTCATCATCATCGCTCTCGTCGTTATTGTTTTCGCTATCATCGTTATCGATTTCACTGTCGCCAGCGTTATGAATCTCATTATTCTCACTGTTATTCTCGTCTTGTTCAATCTCATCATCGCTATCATCAATTTCGGAATCCGAATTGTCAGAACATGATATGCCTTCATCATCAGAGGATTCATCGCCACAGCTACTGTCACTTTCTGTTTCGTATACCGTTACGTTCTGCTCCTGTAACCACTGAGTAACGACTTCAGCTAAAAAATCTACGTTCAATGACCTTATAAATTTCGGATAATCGAAAGTTCTACCGGAACTTTTATTCCCTGATCCTTTATCCGGTAATATCTTCACATCATTTTTCGCCAAATAACCAATTACATCCGGTGATAGGAATGACAGGTAAATTGGAATAATCTTGCAAAGTCTTTTTTCAGGGATGCTATAGGAGAATGGCGTGCTCCAGAGATATGGGCTAACGATTTTACACCACCTACGATTCACCAGCAGAGCCGAGTATTGAGTTTTTATGTCGTACTTGTCTATGTGAGAGATCACATTTTCAAGCACTTCTGCCAAGTTTAGGGCTCTTGTCATTGATGAAGATTCGGATGGAAAAGCAGAGGAAGAAGGTGGTGTCATTGTTTTTGAAATTCCGAGTTCTTTTTAATTTGATATTTTATAATTATAGATTAGATAATGATCGATTATCAAATAAACAAGAAATAAAATTAGAAGAACGGTTAATTTAAACGATCCGTAGAATCAAGGCGCGTCAACAAAAATATTTATACCATCTGATCGGCAACTTAAATAATCTGTTAATAAAAAACCTATTTATAATAAAAAATATGAAAAAAAATTTTTTTTAATCTGTAGTCGGGTCAAAACACGGTATATCTTTATTGTATACAGTAAAATAATATGATTTTTACATGTTAACTCATCCGTGATTGAGATGTCAAATATTTTTTTTTTTTTTTTTTTTTTGAAACGGTGACTCGACCGTGTTTTATTAAACTTTCAAGTGTTTGCAAAAGGTTACAAGAAATTTTCACTCACTAATAAAACATCTTTAGAAATTATTGGGGAGCTTTGAATTTCAACACTAATATTATCACTTTCAAGGGCTTTTTCAGTCAAGGATATTTTACCTGTTCCTCTGCTACTTTCAGTATCACCATGTTGTGATATCTTTATCATATGTTTCACATAGTGGCTTGTTGTCAAGGAAAACTTACTTAATTTAATTTATATACAGTACTAGGAAAGAAGATTTGTCAATTTTCTTAAATACCTCCTAACAAACATGCTCTAATTATTTCAAAATAATCTCTATAAAATTGCATTTGTTATAATATTCCAACTTTATCTTTATGGATGAATTTGAATTTTTATTTATTTAATAGAACAAAAGAAAACCCATTTAATTATTAAAGATAGATGATTATAATATAAAAAATGATTATAATATCTTGTAATCTTTATTATAATTGAATAGACTCTTCTAATAGAAACTAATAAGTAATAAGAGAAGTATCTTATATCCATTTTTTTTTGAATATCCATAGTTAAGCTAAATTGTAATTTATTAATCAATTGATAATATAAGTATATTTTCATTTGAGTAACATGATACACTAAACATCAATATTAACTTTAACTAGTTATAGGCAATAATAGTATCTAAGTTTGATCTTAAAAACAATATTTTACTTTATAATGGATTTTGAGTAAAAACTTTCCTAGTTTACTATTTCATTGTTAACAGATTATCACTGCTAAATGTTTTATTAAACCATTGAAATATAGGAAACTATAAAAGAATAGATTAAAAAAAAAAAGAAAAAGGATATATTTAAAAATATTCAAATGAACTATAAGAATATATAAAAAAAAAAAATCAAATTCTTTAGTTTTCTTCAAAAACTTACTTATTAAAACTTCTTTTCAATAAAAAATATTCAATTGAAATATTTTTTCTTCTCTTGATTATTCGAAGAATTTATCCATTCTTAATCTTGATTTTCTTTTTATATACTGTTTAAGAAGACTTATTACTTAATAGAGTCTTTACTTCCAGGACAAACTTGGTTTCAACCTTTTTTAAGCAATGATTTTTTATCCACTTGTAATAAATAAGTGACTTATGAAGGACCTTAGGTTTTTATATGATTCAATAGGGACTAAGCTATATTGTTTTAATATAATATCTTCTAGTAGCCATACTTAGTTAAAAAAATTTTACTGATAAATATTTTTTATTATTCAAAAAGTCAGATTCTTCAATAATCTTTTTATCTTATAATGATAAGAGAGTTTTAAAAAAAATAGGAATCCTTGTTAATTATAATATTCTTTAACAACTTTTCAATTGTAATTAAAGTGTTAAAGTTTAGCATGGATTAAAAACTATTTAATTTTATTGCCTAATCAGAATAAAAAAGAAACTTTGATCTTAAACTTTGCCTAATTGAAATAATAAGAAAGAGAGATCTCAGCTTAAACAAATAGTAGCTTTTTCATTACTTGAAAACTTGTTGCTTATATTTATTGATCTTATAGAACTTTATTTGTAAATTAATACAATTGGAGAAGTAAAGTAGAAATAGAGCATCAATCAATTTTTTCTATTATCAATAACATCATCAAAACACATAAGTGTAATCAATAGAAGTGTATTTATATTCTAGAAACTAATATATTTTATATTAGCCAATTATCTTTAATAAGTATTTATATTATTAAAAATTTAGAATCAATTTGAGATAGATAAAATTTTCAAAAAACTGTAAAAGTGAAAGCTCTAAGAAGGCTAAAATAGTTTAAAAGGAAGAAAATAGATTTTTTAACTGCAATAAAACCTTTATAAACTTTTTTTCAGATATTTTACAATTAGTTCTTTTTTTTTTTGAAAACTTTCTTATTATTGGTATCAAAGATGTTACTTATTATTTCTTGGTTACTGGAAGTCAAATTTTTGGGTATAGAGATTTGTAAACAATAGAGAAAGAGTAAAAATAACTCTTGAAGTTAGACTTTAAGTTGTTTTAAAGAAAGTATTAAGACTTTATTAGTAAAAAAGTGAAAAACTTCTTATAAATATCTTTTTTGTATATGGTTAGAGAATTAGTGAAAAAAGTTTTAAAAGTATCTAATATCTATTTACATATTGATATAAATGACTTATAAAAGATTTTTTTTTTTTTAAGTTAATAAAGTTGAGACTTTATTGAACTTTAAAAAATAAAAAATAAAAAATCATATAATTATATATTCAAGCTATCAATATAATAAAGTATTATAATAGATGAATTTCTAATGAAATATATTACCTTATAGTTAGGTTATTTCTTTTAAACAAAAGAAAATTAATCTAGAACCTGACTAGTACTAAATTTAATTTTTTTTTTTTTTTTTTGACATACACAACATTGCCCATTTTATTGATTTTATGCATTATATTTACTCTTGTGTACAAAGCGATTTTGTAGACTTTTTCTATGTTTATCAAAACAATAAAACCAATTGATACAATACCCATTGTGGTATGTTGTTCTCCAGGGAAGTACTAACGTACCTAGGCTCCATTAGCATGTGTGGAGAGGATGTCGAAAATGCTTGAGAACCCTTGAATAATGTTTTCCATGATGTTGATAGTGATCTCGGATAGTTGTCTTTGTGTTACTTCTGGGGGGTTATAGCTGGGTTGATTTCCCTTTATTGGTTTCTTTTGTTTCTTCTTTTTTATTTTGTTAGTAATACCTTGTGCCTTTTCCCAAATTTGGAGGCGTTCGCATCTATCTCTCCAAATATTGTATGTGATGAAGCAGATGTTGTTGGTGAAGCTTCAGATGGTTTCTATTACCTTATCTGGGTTTATGAATTTGATGATTAAGTTTATTATCTTTTGACTGACAGCACCTTTTATTATGAGGTTCCACAAATTCGACTCTTGGATGTGCTTGGTAATTTCATCTTTTGTGGTGTGTGAGCTGCCTTTTTCTGTTCTCGCTGTGATTTCCCTATATATTGTTGAGATTATTATTTCGTCGATTTCTATTTCGTAATGTGGGCATCTAAAGGGATGAATGTTGTCTTTTGTTGTAGAGCATGCGAAACATTGAGTTGAAGTGTAAATTTCCAGTTTTCTTTTATATAGTTTGTCCATGGATGGGAGTTCGGAGTTCTATAACTTGATTGCAAACCTTCTTTGGATATGATCCAAATTGTCTGTATGTGTTTCAGTAAATTTAGATGGATGTAGGAGTTTTGTAGATAGTTTCCAGTTTATTACGTTTTGTTGGGCTGGAAGGATTGCACTATTTCTTTGATAATTTTTTCATTCGTATGCCTTTGTATGTTGATAGAGTCATATACTTTGCTTATGTTTTGGAATAACATGTGGCATGGTTTATTTCTTTCTCTTGCGTCTTTCAGAATCTGATTTATGATTGTGATTGGCTCCGGTGTGCTGTTACCTGGTAGGGTTGCCCAGTTGTTTTCGAATAGAATGAGGTGTGAATTTAGTATAGTGGTTAGTCTGTTATTGATTATTTTTGTAAATATTTTCTTGATTGATTCAAGAAGTATAATGGGTCGCATTATATTGATATTGTGTTACCATTCTTTTGGCTTAGGAATTGGATATATGGTGCCTTCTTTCCATTCCATGGGAAGTTTTTCTTCAGTGAGAATGTGATTGAACATGTTGGT